ATCTGGGGTGCCAGGTTCAACTGAGGGCTGGGGCCTCTACTCAGAGGCTTGCTTTATTGCAGCTGAAGGACAGTTACCACGCTGGAGAACCTGTTAGGTGACAAGTGAAGGGAGACTTGGGGTGTTCTGTTCCAAATGCTGAACCCCAGCACCACTGGCTCCCCACAAGGGCCCAGAGCAAGCTGGGAGCTTCTACATAAATCCCTGCCGCCCCAGCCCCCACCAGCCCTTAGCCACTGCCAGTGACCCTCTCCAAGCCAGGTCTCCATGGTGATCTCAGCCCAGCAGGCGGCTTCTGCCAGAACCTTCCCGCGGTGCCCGAGGCCAGGCAGCAGGAAGCTTTCTCACCCTCTGCTAAGCCGCCCAACGCGTCTCACCTTCCTCCTCCCACCACCCTCCCAGCTTGCAGGACTTGGCCAGCAGAGATTCTGGCAGGATCTGGGGGGATGGGGAGGGAATCAAAGCCTGGGGTTCGTGGTGGGAAGAGGGATAAAGCTGCGGTTGTGTAGGACCCAGAGCTCACTAGGCTCAACTCTGCATAAAAAAGAAGCAAAGGCCAAGGTGCCAAGCAGCACAGGGCCAGGTATTGGAGACAAGGCAAATAACACAGCTCTGCTCTTGCATTTGAGAGGCTCATGAAACAGAGGCAGAGCAGAGACCCCAAGCCGCGAATCCTCCATACGGGCTGATGGGAAGGTGCGATGGGAAACCCTAGGAGGCTCAGGGAGAATTGGGGGGGGGGCGTTACACCTAACCTAGTCTTGGCAGGAGGGACTATGGCTCTGCACTCACTGCTGATTACAGTGCCCAGAACACGCTGGGGTCACGAATGTGTGTGGACTGAGTGACAGAGTTATGACTGATCTAAGGCTGGTCATCGTGTCAAGGTCCAGCTCAGCTCTTGCACACCTCCAGGGTGCCTCCTTAGGCCACCCTGTTACCATAGCTACCAGTGCACTTGTCATTTCCTACCCTGCTCCTCCAGGGCAGAGACTTGTATGTGGTACCTCTGTACCCTCAATGCCAGCATGCACCTGGCCCCAGGACATCAACCACTGTTCTAAAACTTAACCTTTTAGTGCCTCTGTAAGAAACCTCAGAGCCACATTCTTCTGAGTTCTTACGCTCCAGCAGTTTTAGCATCTGAGGTGCCAGGTCTTTAAGTGGTCTCTGCCTGGCAATGGGGGAGGGCAGAGGCAGCACTGAGGGGTAGCTGAACAGAGATGCAAAGTGCTGCAGCTGATATATAAATCAGGTTATTTGGAGAGAACAGCCTCCCCCCAAAGGGACACACATTTGTACACTCACTGAAGCAACCAGGAAACATGAATTCACACTCCCATCAGCTACCAGGTGTGAGTTAAGGGTTAGCCTCCTATCTCTAGTCTCTGCCCTGGTAGTGGGGTGGGGGGTGGGGGGTGGGATCTCAATGTCAAATAAGACAGTGCAGCAGAAGGCAAAGAGGGTACATGAGAATTTAAAACTGATCTGCTGGCCCTGCTTCCATTCTGTAAAATAAGGGGGTCAAACAGGTGATGGGAGGTCTTCAGACACTGCAACTGTGATACTGCCCCAAGAAAAAGAGGTCAGGGGCAGAACTTTTCCTAAGGGTGAAGACGATACTATTTCAGGTACTCAGACAACACCTGACAGGACTACCATCAGGTAGGGTAGGCCTGGAAGGAATCCAATGAAACATCACAAGGCTCTTAGCTGGGGACAGGTATGCATGGGCAGAGGGGTTGGGTAGTTCTCCCCATGCTCCAGAGTTTTTTTTTCTTTCTTTCTTTCTTTCTTTCTTTCTTTCTTTCTTTCTTTCTTTCTTTCTTTCTTTCTTTTTTTTTGTGGAACCAGGGATTGAACTCAGGCCCTTATGCTTGCCAGGCATGTGCTTATTCTACTGAGCCATCTCCCCAACCCACTCCAGAGTTTTTCAAAACCTGTGTCTACCCACTAGAGATACTCCCCAGATTCTGGCTCTGCTTGTTATACTCCTTAGGGATCTACCTTTGCCTCCCATACTGCTAGGCATGGAAAGCTAAAGCACTAGCTAGTGGTACCAAGTTGGGTTCATATCTATGATCACTTAGCAAACCTGCATGCAGACACTGTATGGTCCTCCCACCTCCCAGAGCCTCATATTCCTTACCTGTCCTAGGGGGTAAGGAATACACCCCCACACCAGAGATGTCCTATATAACATAGGGGTCACTGATGGTATGCACTAGGCACACAACTAAAGCACAGGCTGAGGAAAGATGAGCACAGTGGGACTCGGTGATTCCCAAGGGTGTCCCTAGCTCTACTGCTCAGGCTTTCACTGATCAGGTGGCCAAGGCCTCAGGCGAGTCTCTTTTCCCCTGCAAACTGGGAGGTGAGACTTCCAAAAGCCCAGTCAGCTCTTACAGCTCCACCTGGTTTATTTGGACACCCCTCCCCTGCCCCATTTTAGGAATGCTTCCTGGCAGTGGGTCTGAAGCTGTTCCTTATTCATATCCCAGTGGTCAGTCTTTCCTCTCAGTTCCCTACTCTACATGTTTTTCTTTCTTTTTAAATCTATTTATTTATTCATTCATTTATTTATTTGGTACAGGGTCTTGCTATACAGCTCAGACTTGTAGTGATCTTCCTGTCTCAGCCTCCCTAACACTGGGATTTCCTATCTCCCTCCCTAGTACCACCATGGTGGCCAGCATGACATGACCTGGGTTCACAGCTGGGATTCTGGGGCTGCCACAGCATGCAGTACTGGGGATCAAACCAGGGTCCTTGCGCTTGCCAGGCAGGTGCTTAGACTGCTTAACTATCTCCCCAGGCCCCCCCACCTTTTTTCCTTTGAGATAGGGTTTCACTATGCAATTCAGGCTGGTTTTCAGCTCACTTTGTAGCCCAGGCTGGTCTTGATCTTGCAATGATCTTTCTGCCTCAGCCTCCTAAGTTCTACATGTTTTTCTTTTTGTATTTTGGGGAAGGGCCTACAGGGTGTTCAGGGTCTCACTGCTAGATCAGACTCCTGGTGATCTGCCTGTTTACAGCCTTCCAAGAGCTGGGATTACAGGTGCATGCCACCATGACCAGTCTCAACTGCTGTCTCAGCACAGTTGGGGGCGGGGCCTGCACGGCAGGCCCAGGGATTGATCGAACCCCTGGCCCCTGCACCTGCTTGCAGGCGCTTTAATCCACTGAGCTACTTGGCCCGGCCTACATGTTTTTCTTTGATTCAAGTTAAAACACATGTATAGGTACACCTGAAGTGTTCCTGATGAGACACTGGGGCAAGGGGAAGATGGTGCAGAGATGAGTAACTGGACTAAAAGAAGACGATGGTGTGGTGAGGACATTCCCAGGAAGGGCCGTCATGGATGCATAAAGGGCTAGAGATTAATTGTGCCTGGGAAGAATCCTGGAATGCCTCTTGGAGGTGCTGAGTGAAGTCAGAAACTGACAGGTGGGAGAACACGGTGGGTAGGAAAGGGTAACCCAGTCCAGAAAGAGGAGAAGGACAGGGCACATTTGGGAAAGACCCATGGGATAGCTTCCTCCTGACTCTGCATTCCCAGGCAGCTAAGTTAGGGCATGTGTGAGGGAGGTAGGGCAGAAAAAGGCAGGACGCCAGGACAGAAGCCTTGAATGCCATGCAGGGAAGTTGGGGCCTGTATTTTGTAGGCAAGGGAAGAATGCAATCAAAAGGTGTGAAGCAGTGGAGTTGCAGGAGCAGATGTGCTTTAATCAATTCAACCAATAAATATTTTAGGGGCTCCAGACGCTGTGCATCTAAAAGTGCTGAACAACAAGCACTTTGGCTGCTGTAATGGGAAGAATGAACTCAGGTGGGGTTGTTCAGAGACCCTGGTGGCTGAGCCCAAGCTCACGTGTGAACCTCTGAAGTCTCCAATTTGTCTAGACCCATTTCCTGCACCCAGAAGGCTCTTGCTGTATGCCTTGCTCACATGGTTCAGCACAGTGGCCCCTGAAGATCCTTTTTATATCTTGGTGCTAGGAACCAAATTCGGCACCTCACGAATGCTAACTAAATGGCTTATCACTAAGCTACCTACCCAGCCTCTTAAAAATTTTATTTTGAGATACAGTCGCAGGCTTGTCTTGAACTTGCAATCGTTCTGCCTCACAGTCCCCAGTAACTGGGATTGCAGCTGTGCACCTGAAACGTGGAGGCTGTTAACAAACCCTTGTTTACAGGCTGCAAGCCCCACAGGAGTATGGCATGTCTGTCTTAGCACTGGCTGAAGTGCCCGGCCCAGAACAGGTTGCTAGTTCATGTATGCTACACACAGAATTAACCTACTTCTTCCACCCTCTGACACAAACACAGGGCTTTATGGTAGCAAGCTAAGATGACAAAGAAAGCAAATCTGCCAGAGGAAAAAAAATCACAATGTATTTCGAAGAAGGAAGTATTTCTCAGGTTATTTGTGTTGGGCGAGAAGATAGGCAGGTCATGTTAAGTCTGGGTTTTGTTGCCCATCAAGTTTCAGGTCCCTTGGGATGGACTTACCTTGTCCCAGTGTCCTCCCACCCCACCCCCACCCCAGGAGGACTTAGCCCAGGTGCTAGAGCAAAGAACTCCATGGTATTTTAAAGTCTCTCTGCATAAGCCCCCAGACACACACAGGGCTCCATGGGCCTAAGCAAGAGTCCAGAAGCTAGGGTTGACGTGTGTGACTCACAGACTAGGTCAGAGGCAGGCCCCAAAACTCACTGTGGAAAGGTATCTATCCACCCTCCTGCCACCCATTGATTACGTGCTTGCTGTGGGCCAGGACCGGGCTATGTGCTTCACATGTAATCTCATTTAATTCTCACAAGAGACGCAGAGAAGTGACGTGACTCACCAGGTGAATGACTCACCAGGTCACCTAGCTGGGAAGGGATGGAACCAGGTGGTGCGCAGAGGCTTGTCTGAAACCGCAGGTGGGCTCCTAGCCATCACCCTCCAGTTGCAGAGCTCTGCTCCGGGATGTGGGGAGCTGAGGGAGGAGGAGTGCGAGAGGGCGTGTTCACAGAGAGATGGCATTTCCAGGGAATGGAGCCTCAGCACAGAAGGCCCAGCCTAAACGTGGCTGCAGGAGTGGTAAGAGACAGGATTGGAGGGAGGATAGGTTCATAGAAGGGGGAAGAGCCAGAGCCCGTAACAGGCATGGCAGGACTGGTTGAGCCCTGACTGGAGGCCTCTTGCTCAGAGCCAGGGGCAAGATCAAGTGACCTTTCAAGGTTTCAAGACAGAGACACAAAGCCCAGAGCAGCCGGGCCTGGACATGCCTGCTGACCCCAGCTGGATGGTGGCCTTGGAAACTGCCTCCTGCTCCAGTCAGGCCCCAGCTGGTGTAACCTTGGAGGACCTGTGACATTTCTCTTGGCTTCAGTTCCAGGCCTGAGAAGGAGGAGGGAGGAGGGGGAAGAGAGGGGAGAGGGAGATTCCTGAACACCTTGGAGGCCCTTTTTACTCTCCCACTCTCATCCCCTGGTCTGTTAGGGCCAATCGTCAGCCCACAGGGTCCCAATGTGGAGCCAGTCTGTCTGGACCAGAGAAGATATCTGCTGGGCCCAACCCCCTCCCCATGTCTGTCCTGTCAGCCATGGCTCTCAGCCCAGTCGTGCCCCACATTCCCCACTCCCTCCTCGAGCCTTTCATCTTCTACTCACTCTGCAATAGAACCTGCCTTTGTACACAGTTCCCACTGCCTAGAATACCCTTCCCCATTTCCAAATCTTGCCTATTCTTCAAAGTCAAATGCAAGTGCCAGTTTCCTCCACAGAACCTCAAAATCCCCTTAGAATGTCAGACCTGAAAAGAAGGGCTCGTCCAATCTGATCCTTCATTGCTGAGGAACGAGGATGCAGGGTGGAATGGTGCAGCTGCATGGCAAAAGTCCCCAGGCTGTGGAGGGGCAGCAGTGGATTCCAAATCTGGCTCTACCATACACTAGCTATGGGTCCCCGGGGCCATACAGATTCCTAACTGTACCTGTTTCAACTCTGATGGGGGCAGGAAGTACAGCCACTCCCAGGCTGTTACAAAAGGTTCATGGGCATAGAATTGCACAAAGGCCCAGCACAAATGTGTCCCTTTTCTCACCAAGCAGGCAGTGGGATGATTTCTGACTGTACTCCCAGCTGCCTGGCATACAGTCTTTGTTCCTGCCTCTGGGCACTTGCCACTTCCTACCAGGTGTTTTTAGGTTCTTTGTGTACTTGCTCCAGCTTCCTGGGGTGGATGCTGAACTCGAGGGCAGGGGCCATGTCTGCTTTGTCTGCCCAGTGCTTGGCAATGAAGGAGCCGAATTACTGCTTCTCCAGTGCTTCTCCCAGCATCAGAGCTGCTCACTGCCTGTTGGTGAGTGAGCACATCGTTGTCTTCTCTGCTTAAGCCTTCTGTTGACAATGTAACTCCCTCTGTTAATTCTCCTTTCTTGCCACTCTCTTCCTTACACCCTCAGCCCTTTCACCCTCCTAACATGATTTTATCTGGCACCGGAGGGTTCCCCTAGATAGAAGAGCTTGGTGCCATTTTAGAGAAAGGGAGACCTTGTCGCAAGCTACCACCCATTGCTTGTCTGGACTGGTGCAGCCAGTGTCCCTGCTTCAACATCTGTGACCTGAGCACTGCAGTGGGAGCCCCTCTTCAGCAACCCCCCACCTGTCTTGGAACAGTCCAAGCCCTTCCAGTGCCTTACTTGATAGAGTGCTATTTAGCTTAACTGCTTTCCCTCAATTCCTCAGAGCCAAGCGTCTTCCTGCTTCACGGCTACACACACGGGGTTCCCTCTATTCACAATGCTCTTTCTACTAGCCCCTTCATCCTTCAGGCAGCAGCTTCAAGGTCTGGGCAGCCCCTTGCAGGCTCTTATAGTCTCCTAGCTTTGTTTCCTCCACACCATCCTTCCCACAAATTCTCAGTGTCATTCTGTTTACTGTCTTCTTCTCTAAAGAGGAAGCCCCCTGAGGACCAAATGGTGCTGCAATACCTGGCACAGGGGGATTGCTGCACAGATGGCTCTGGAACAATTGCAGGCATTGGTTGGAGGACAGTGCTGTTAACTCCCAGCCCTGGGTGGGGAGCAGGGCCAGAATGTGGGGCTGGATGGCATCCCAGTTCCTCCTCCGTTCAGCCTCACTGGGTGGTTCCATTATGTATTTCACTGAGCTGTGACCTACCCAAACACCCAGCCCCCACACCGGTTCATTTCCCCAACCAGAGCCTGGAAGGAATGGTTTTTGGATTATTTCACATTTCTGGATTATCCAAGAGACATCTTCTCTCCAGTGAGAAGGATCAAGAGTTTTGACATTTAAACCCTAAGCAGCTTCTCCCTGGCCTGCTTCAGATCTGTGGCTCTGCTGCTTGCAATGAGATGCATGGGGAATGGAAGGCCATTTTAATCTTGGCCTGGCTTCATTAGGAAGGAAAATACGCTGCCAAAAAAAAAAAAAAAAGTTTGGTCCATTGTTTCTGCCTTGCAGAGCTAAAGAGCTAAGAGATTATTGAAGTTCCTTGAACAGATGGGGAAACAGAGGCCAGAGAAGAGCAAAAGCTTGGTCAAGGGCATGTTTGTGGCCAACGGAGGACTGGTTCTCCTTTGGGGTTTCTGGCTCTCACAGGCTGTCCTACGCTACCTTCAGGCATCGGGCAGATGGGATCTGACAAAAAGCAGTTAATAAATGTCCACTGACGTCAGCTTAGAACCCAGAGTCACCCTGGTCATGAATGGCCTCCAGGAGGCTTTGGGACAGCAGAAGTGGAGAGTGAGGGTCTCAGACATGCCCAGATCCCCCCCCCCCCAATACCGCATCTGGGCCAGTTTTCTGACAAATCTGTAGCTGTATTGGGGAAGAGGCTCTCTGTCACAAAAATAGTTCCTTTAACCCTATTCCCTTTGATCATTTTGGGGCATTCTATCTTTTTACTTTTTTCTCTGTACTGGGGATTGAATCCAGAGCCTTTGCACTGAGCTACAGCCCCAGCTCCCAACCAACCCCCCCTTTTCCCTCCCTTTTTATTATTATTTTTTAAAAATTTGAGACAGGGTCTTTCTAAGTCACTAAGTTTCCCTGGCTGTGTCTGAACTTGCAATCTTCCTGCCTAAGTCTCTGAGAGTACTGAGATTACAGGCATGTGACTCCATGCCCAGTTTGTTTTCTTTATCTTCTTGCTCTTCTGTTTTTTCTTTTTCCCTTCCTTGCCTTCTCTTTTCTTTCTTTCCTTCCTCTCACTGGGGACTGAACCCTGGAACACTCTACCACTGAGCATTTTTTATTTTGAGACAGAGTCTCAATAAATTGCCCAGTCTGGGCTCAAATCTGCAATGTTCCTGGCCTCAGCTTCCTGAGTAGCTGGGATTACAGGTATACACCATTATGCCTAGCATTTCATTTTCACTTTTAAAAATACCAAATCTTTTTAAAAAATATATTTAGTATAGGGTCTATAGGGTCTCTCTACACAGATTGGATTCATAGTGATCCCCCTGTTTTCTGCTTCCCAAATGCTGAGATTACAGGTACGTGCAGACCAGGCCCAGTCTTAATCACATCTCAATGCGCTCCAGGGCGGGGCCAGCACAGCATGCTGGGGATTCAACCCCAGTCCCTGTGCCAAAGCAGGTGCTTTAGTCTGCTGAACTATAAAAATACCATATTATTATTTTTTTCTTTTTTTAAAAAATGTATTTGGTACAGGGTTTACAGGGTCTTACTATGTAGATCAGACTTATAAGAGATTCACCTATTTTCAGCCTCCCAAACACTGGGATTATGGGGCACGGCACACGGCACACCGGGGATCAAACCCAGCCACTGCGCTGCCTAAACGGGTGCTTTAGTCCACTGAGCTATCTGGCCGGCCCAACCCCCCCAATTAATTAATTAATTTATTTATTGGAACTGGGGATTGAACTCAGGCCCTTGCACTTGCCAGGGAAGCACTTATTCCGCTGAGCTATCTCCCCAGCCCCCCAAAACACCAAATCTTAAAAATAGTAAAACTGACTCCAACTAATGAGGTCACAGTATCTGATAAAAGTAGTATCTAAGTGTTTTGTAGCATTTAACTCAACTCTTAGTTAGGAAAGATCCTGGGGTGAGGAAAAGGGCTCATTTTTCTAGAGCCAAACACTCTACCTGGGGACAGACCCATCCACTGCACTGATTGCAGGGCAGTGGGATCACAGTGCCCCTTTTCTATGTCTGGATCCTTAGCTCATATGTCCCTGAATCCCGGCCAAAGATGTTGGAAAATGATTTGGGAGTACTTTGGGAGCCCAAGAGAGGACCATTTGGGGCCACTTTGTAAAGTCCTAGCCAAGTGTGTGACCAATATGTCCTTGCCACACTCTGGTCTTGGCCAGGCTACATCATGGAGTCATCAGAGCTCTCAGGAAAATGAGGATGCTCAGCAGGGCTGGAACTCCAGGGTGGCCATGTGTGGATGACTGACTGACCTTTGTCGTCCTTTACCTGTCTCTCACAGTGATGCAAACACCTTCTCTCCTAAGATCTATGGTACCTCCTGTCTACGGCCTAGCAAAAAAGAGGGAAGCAAATGTTTGATAAACCAAACTAGATAGCTGTATTCAGCCTGGTTCTTCTGCGGCTCCAATTATCAGGATCCCCCAAAGGTCCTGCTGGGTTCCTCACCCAAGCACTTTTGACTCTTCCCCCAAGACTGTCCACAACTTCTGACCTAAATCTCTCTCCTTGCTGTCAGGTCCTGTCTTGTCCTTAATCCTACAGGACTCCTACTCATCTCTATACCTCTTCCCTTGGCCCAAACTTTAATGTAGTCGTCTTCTCCACCGCCCAAGCCTCTACCCATCGCACCCACATCCCCAGACTCACCCAGGAATAAAACCTTGCGGTCCAGTCGGCACTTCAGTTGGCACTACAGGGAGGTGACGGTGAATGTGTCCTCAGGATGAGGTTCCGCCATGGGCCCCAGGAAGCTGCTCTTAGGGCCCCCACCCAGGCCAGGATGCGCCTGCGGCATAAAGCCTGGATACCTGTACGCGGTATCCTGCAGGGGCAGCAGCGAGTCCCTCGGCACAGGGGACAGGGTCAAGTCACTAAGGAGTGGGCAGCCATAGCCAGCAGCGGCTGCAGCAGGGCCACGCGGTGGACCGGGTGGCCGTGCCATCTCTAGTGGCTCCTTGTCAGCCTTGGGTGTGGCTGGTGGGCTGGCCAAGTGTGGGGCACTGAGGCACGTGGCCTCCGTCCTGCCCAGGAAGTCAGCCAGCAGCCCTGTGCCCACCTTGCCTTCGTAAGGTGGGCTACGGGCAGCTGAGCCTGGTGGATACCAATAGGCTGTGCCCTTACAACTGGGGGAATCGTAGTGGGGCTGGCCCAGTGGCAGGTCCCGGCAGCTCAGGTGGGCCTGGGCTGCAGCCACATGGCCCAGGCTGGCACCCTGGAGCCCATGCTTGAGGGGCTCACAAGCAGCTAGCTTTGTGGGCGGTGGCCGTAGCTCTTCCTTGAAGCCTAGCGTGGGTGAGCACGTGGGTGAGTACGCCTTCTGCAGGCCAGCATCAAACACGGTGGGTGGGTGGGCCAGAGGCGGGAAATGCTTGCCATCCAGGTCAGGTGCACCCAGGCTGGGTGAGTCGCAGTGAAAGCCTTGGCCGAAGGTACCATCAGAAGGCGTGGATGGATTCATAGAGTAGGGTCCCATGAAGTCACAGGGGTCTCGCTCTCCCACACTGAAGGCCCTTGACTGAGAGGGCAGTGGTGACATACTGCTATCCCCACTGTAGTAGTCCAGGCCGAGGTCTGGGCTGTCCTGGAACAGTGGGTTGACCGGCTGTGGCTTAGGGATAAACTTGGCTTTGGCTGCTGCACCACCTCGCTCCTTCTTGGCTGAGCATGCCCCACCGCCTCGACCACCCCGTGGCTGCCGGGGCCCGGTGCTCCGCTTGGATGGGTAGCCTGAGGCAGCAGCAGAGGCGGATGTTGAGAAGCCTAGGTGTGAGGCCTCAAACAGGTCCACCTTCTTCCGCCGTCCACGGCCAGGCTTGGAACTACTCTGGAAGAGGACACTCTGGTTCCAGTTGTAGCCGGGGGCAGATGATGCTTCGTTCCAGTCCATCATCAGTTTCTCTAGGCTGGACAGGCTTGATTGGCCCTCACTGCTCGAGGCCTCACTGTTGGCACGACGAAAACCGCCACCACCGACTGGTTGATTGAATTGGGTGCTGTCGGAGGATGACTCAGAGAAGGTCTCGGACACAGCTGTCTGCTGCTTCACCTTCTGTGGGGTGTAGTTGGAGATGTCCAGAATCACATTGGGCTCGCTGACATGGCAGTCAAAACTGGGGTTATAGAGCTGACTAAAGGCCTCTGAGGCCCAGTCCAGGCCTCCATAGCCCTGCCGGAAAGGCCACTGAGAAGCCCCCGCAAACTGCCGACAGTTCTCAGGTGAGGGCTGAAAGGAGGAGGAGGAGGAGGAAGCGACAGAGGCTGCGGAGGTGGCAGAAGCTGTGGTGCCCTTGGGCACCATGTAGCCGCCAGGAGAGACAGTGCTGGCCCGGCTGTCACAGCGTAGGGGTGTGGGAGCTGAACCAGAGAAAGGGGCCCCCTCAGAGCTGCTGAAGAAGGACGCCTTGCTTGGTGGCAAGCAGGGACCTCCAGTAGGTGGTGGGGCATAGCCAGCACTGTGGGCGCTGCTGGGTGAGGCAGGAAGGCTGTTGCCGCTGCCATAGGCAAAGCTGCAGTCCTTGCTGTTAGCACAGTCCTGGCCTGTAAAGGGCTTTGCTGGGGCAAATACACTTTGTCCAGCCCCATATCCACCGTACTGGGGTGGGTAGGTGTTGGTGGGTGGGTGGGTAGTTGGAGATCGGGCCACAGCTGAAGGTGGGGGAGCCAGCTTTGGGAAGGTCTCAGCTGCCCGGCAGTCTGAAGTAGCTGGGGTTATCCCATAGCTTGCTGCCCGCCCTGGTGGGAAGGTCTGGCGAGTGGGCAAGACAGGCTGGAAGGGAGGGTCTGCCCCTGCCCCACTGCTGCCCACTGCCACTGGGCTGGCCTTGGCTCCCCGGCTGGGGAAGGTAGCCAGGCCTCGCTGGGCAGATAGGGCACTGGTGGGTGGCCCTGTGTAGGTGCCTGATGCCTTCCGGGACTCTGGGCGAGAGGCTGAGAGGGCAAAGTCCAAGAGATCGGAGGAGTCATCCGAATCAAGCAGTGAGCGAAAATAGCCAGTGAAGAGGTTTTGGCGCTCTTGGCTGAGCTCAGTCTGGCCTGAGGGGGTGCCCGTGCTATAATAGCTGCCACGGCCTGAAGTCCCACTCTCCAGCCCAGTGGAGGCAAAGGCCCGGGCCTCAGTCCCCTGGAAACCACAGTTTCGGCCAGCTTGCCCACCTGGGTGCCCATGGTGAGGGGCCCAGCCACCACCTTTGTCCCCAGCCCACTCGGCACCAGCCTCTCCAAAGCCTGGGCCACTGGGTACCTGCTCTGGAAACAGAGTTCCATTTTTTCGGGACCGCCTCTTCCGCTTGGGCTTCCCCGTCAACACGTCCACCTCCCCCCGACCCCGTTTGCGTGGGTGTCCTAACTCAGTGAGGCCGGGACCTCCAACCCCAGCAGCTGCCACTGCCACCACCTTTTTTTTCTTGCCAATCCCCTCAAAGAAGTCACTGAAGGAGCATCTGGCTGCCTTGGCTGCATGGCCCCCACCTCGGCCACCAAAACCACCTGTCTTGCCCCCACGCCGCCGGAAGCCCTGCACGCGGTGTAGGAAGTGGGAGATGCTCTGGGTGTCAGGGGCCTGGTGTACTGACTCAGGCTCACTGGGTGTCCAGCAGCGGGGTGGTGAGCACCGCCCAGCACACTGGCTCTGGCGGTTCAGGAAGGCCAGTTTGGCGAGGACATCTGAGTACTCAGCCTTACTGTCATTGGCATCTGCTGCATACGATGGCTGGGGAGATGCCAGCTTCTGCTTCCGTCGCCGTCGTTTCTTTACCTCTGGGATGGCCATGGTGGCTGCTGTCACAGTAGCAGCCTCAGTCGCCACCACTGCTGGCTCCTTGGGCTTGCCAGGACCCAGCAGTAAGTTCTTAGGAGGGCGGCCACGCTTACGCTTGAGAATAATTGGCATCTCACCTGGTGGGAAGACCACTACCACGTTTCGCCCATTGTTCTTCATCTTCAGCAGTGGGGTGGGTTCTGCTGATACTCGTAGGCCTAGCTCCTTACCCTCCACGCTCAGGCTGCTGCTCAGAGATGACACTTTGTATGTGGTCTTATTCCGCCGCCCCAGTGATACAGGGATCTTAGCCATCTTCACCACCATGCGCCTTACACCCCGGCACTTGCCTTTGCGGGCAGGGACAACTGGAGTCTGGGAACATTCTGGTTCCAGTTCTGGGACTGGGCCTGGCAGGGCAGGTGGTGGTGGAGGTGGCGGTGGCGGTGGCTCAGCCAGGACAGCTGCCAGCCCTGTGGGCATAGGCAAAGGTAGCAGGCGGCCCTCAGGTCCAGCGTCTGCCTTACGTCCCCGACCAGCTTTCCTCCGGCGACACAGGATCTTTGGCCTATCAGTGCGCCGCAAGGCATACTTGGGGTGGCCCTCAGGCCCAGGGGGGCCATGGGGTGAGCACAAGTCCAGGCGCAAGGGTTCAGCCAATGGACAGTGACCAAGGGGCTGTTGGGGCTCCAGTCGGCGACCTGGGACATCCAGCAACTTGGGTAGCGGGTCAAGTGCCTGGGGGTCAAGTAGCTGTGACTCCAGGGAGTCAGGCAAGGTATCTAGGGCCTGTAGTGCCAGGCTTGGCAACCCTAAAGGGTCGGCAAGAGGTTGCAAGGGAGGCAACTCCAAAGCTTCCCCGAGTGGCTCTAGTGCCTGTGGGTCCAGAAAGCGGGGCTGGGGGTCCAGGAGCTGAGGCTCTGGCTCAGGCGATGGTGGCTCCAGGGCCTGGGCCTCTAGCAGCTGGGCCTCAGGGCAAGTCAGGGAGGCTAGCTCACTGAGGATGTCAGCTTCGGCGAGTTCTGAGTAATCAGGGCCATCTGGCTCAGGCTCTGGGGGCAAGCCGGTAGCTGCTGCTGTGGCGCCAGGACTATGGCCTTGGCCAGGCTGGGGACTGTCCCTAGGCTCAGGCTCAGGCTCGTAGAGGGGGTGGCTGGGTCGCTCTGACTTGGCATGAGGGGTGGTGCGCTCCTCCGGGCTGCGGATGCTGTTGGCCAGGCTGGGTGAGGAGAAGAAGCTGTACTGCAGGTCACCAGGCGGTGGGGCAGGGGGGCGGCTCAACCGCAGCCCACCACAGTCCAGATGCACCCCACTGTGCTGCAGGTCCTGGGAGAGGCGTGTCAGGTCCTTCATGATGTCAATCAGCTGCACCACTGGACGCAGGTTCACCCGTCCGTTGTCCCAGCGGCGGCGGGAACTGCTGCGGTCTCCGGCTGATATAGGGCAGCGGGCCTGGGAGATGGGCCGGGCAGCCCTTGGGGGCAGCGGGTCGTCCCCTTTGGGAAGGACTGGAGGGCGTCGGGTGCTAGGGTCCCGGCGTGGGGGTGGGCGTGGGTTCTCCGAGAAGGTGTGGGTGGAGAAGGCCTTGTCAGGTGGACTGGCAGGGGGCCGGGTGGGAAGCAAGGGGCGGGGGGCGGGGGGGCCGCCGGGGTAGTACTTGGGCTCCCGGAGGTAGTCAGGAGAGCTGCACACGGCACTGGAAGTCACCACCAGGCCCTGGGGCTTCACACGCATCCTGACCTTGTCCTCCGCGGGCCGCCGGGCGGGGCCGGGGCTGACATGAGGGTGCGAGAAGCCGGGACCAGGACCTGCTTGGCAGGACAGGCAGAAGGTCCCTTACTAAGTACACAGGTCTTCACTAGCTTTTCTAATCTTGAGCCCCTAGACTGCTCCCCAATGTCTCCTCATCACCCTTACCAAGCTCCACCCCCAGTCCCAAGTCTAATCCCTTTGGGGTCCTCAGCTTTTTCACAATACCCTGAGTACAATGAATCACTCCCAGGCCCCAGGCCCATGTATGGACACACAACTGATGTCCTCCTACACCTTGGCTATGGATGGGCTCAGTAAAAACAGTACTCTTGTCTTGAAGAAGACCATCAGCAGGCTGAGGTGACCACTCTGGTTCAAACTTAGGAGAGGGCCAGAATGCCCTATCTCAGAGAGGGCCTCACTCCTTCCCCCACCCCAGGGACTCCAGGAGAACCCTGGCCACTCACCCTCGGCTCTGCCGCCTGGGCTGTCACACTGGAGATCTCTGTGGGCAACAAGACAGGCAACAGGAGATCTGAATTCCCCACATGATCTGGTGGCCACATTTAACCCCTGCCCACCTGCCCACTGGCCCAGCCTCCTCCAGGTGCCACCCCAGCTCCCTCAGGGGCCCCTCCAGTGTGCACACCCGGCTGACCTGGGAGAGAGAGGGCCCCCGTGTCTGGGGGCTCTGCCAATCGCTGGCTGTCAGCTGGGGGGGCCTGCAGAGCAACTTCGGCCTGAGCCCAGGCCTCGGGGCGTGGACAGCGCCTGGAAAGGACCACCGCAGCTCAGGTTTAGTGAGCACCTTGTGCGTACCGGGCAATGGGCTGGAAGCTGTCCAGGCATCACTTCATTTAGTTCTTCATACCAATCCTGTGAGGTAGGGGCTATTAATAACCCCATTTCACAGATGAAGAAATGGAGGCTCAGGGATGAAATCATTCATTTATACACTATTTATGGAGGACCCACTTTGCACAAGGGCTCAGTAGACATTGATCACATAATCATAGATGATTATAGATATATATTAGTGGGAAAAGAACGGTAAAATCAAAGTGAAGAGTATCTGAGATCAGAGGTCTAGTGACCAATGGGGAGTCAATAATATAAGCCCATACTATGGGGACACATCTGCTACCAACACTGAGTCAAGTATTTTATATAAATTATCTAATCCCCTGCAAACCTGAGATCAATATAATTATCCTCCCCATTTTTACAGAATCCATCCACTGAGGGTGTTAAGCACCATGAGGGCAAGGATATCTGTCCTATTCACTACAGATGTATCTCTCAATATCCAGGACATGTGGCCCACAGGTTCAAAAAAATGTTTGCAGGGCTGGGGAGACAGTGGCTTAAGCGCCTGCCTGGCAAGTGTAAGGCCCAGAGTTCAATCCCCGGTACCACCAAAAAAATAAAAAAAATGAAAGAAATTGTTTGTGGGATGCATAGATGAATGCATGAAGCACACAGAGCAATCAGTCTTGCCTTTAACTGTAAGCTCTTTCTTATTCTCTAGACTCAAAAGTGACCCAAGAAGGATGCATGAACAGAGAAGGAAGGGATATACACAAGGATGTAGAAAGGGACATTCCCTGATTCACACTGTTTCCTTCTAATTCCACAATCATCAGAAAGGCTGAGCAGGGTATGGTAGTGGACACCTAGAATTCTAGCCCTCTGGGAGGCTCAGGTAGGAGGGTCACAGGTTTGAGTCCAGCCTGGCCAATATAGTGATTTAGTAAGATCCTGCCTCAAAATAAAAAAATAAAACAAGCGGGCTACAGAGATAGCTCAGAGGTCTAAGTGCCTGCCTGGCAAGCACAAGGACCCGGGTCTGATCCTCGGGTACTGCATGCTGTACTAGCCCCAGAACCAGGCGCTCCATGCCAGCCCTGAAACCAGGCATGGTGACACATGTCTGTAATCCCAGCGTTGCAGAGGCTGAGACAGGAGGATCACTAGGAGTCAGAGTTGCATAGCGAGACCTTGTAGCAAATAAATAAAAAAAAATTTTTTTAAATAAATAAATAATAAAAAGGGCATGTAGTTCAGTGTGAAGGCTTTGAGTTCAATCACAACTACCAGAAAGGAAAAAAGAAAAGAGAAGAAAAGAAAAAACAAGGCAGACAGGCAAAAAGACTTTTTCTGATGCCCTAATCCAACTGTGGTCCAGATTTTGCTATGTACTCTGGGAGCCTTATCTTTTTCACCTTCATAGTATTTATCACAACTATAATCAATTACTTGTGTGACTGTCTGTTTAGTGTGTCTCTCCCCTGAGAATATGGGCTCTTCAGGGGCAGGGATCACATCTGTCTTGTTTACCACTGTATCCTCTGACCCCCGGGCCTGGGCTATGGATGCTACATAAATATTTACCAACTGACTCCCTGAGCCGGTTAGGGCAGAGCTGGGATTTAGATCCATGTCTGCCTTCCAAGGGAACCTGGGGGCTCAGGGCTGGACTGATTCCCATAAGGAGGATTTCCGGGAGCTGAATGAGTCCCAGTTACTGGGAGAATTTCAAAAGAGTGGCATGGGCTGGGTGCGGTAATGTACACCTATAATTGCAGTTACTTGGAAGGATGAGGCAGAAGGATCACAAGGCCATGGTCAGCCTGGGAAACTTATTGTGACCCTCTCTCAAAACAAAAAGGGCTGAGGGTATAGCTCAGTGGTAGAGTCCTCCTGGGTTCAATCCTCAGGACAAGAAAAACAAAACAAAATGAAACAAAAAACAACAGAACACTGATATACTGATCAATGCCTACTGTTGGTCTCTGATTTAGTGTTGGATCCCAGGGTCCATTCCTTACAGACACAGGTAGACCCCACTGGCTGCCATAATGCCCACTGTTGTCACCCCAGAGGAAGAATGTGGAACTAAATTGGGGATAGGATGGCACAAAAATAAAGACGCCTTTGCTGCCCTTTGATGGGTAGTGCTTTTGCTGTTTACATGAAACTTTCACATACATGATACACTGAATCTTCACAGCACCCAGGAGACATGCATGGCTTATTATCCTCATGTTACACAGGAAATAGACCCAGAGCCACTGTGAAACTTGCTTGAAGTCACACAGCTGCTCAGAGGCAGGCTTTCTAATTCTGCACTTCAGGCCACAGTCTCCTTCCACTCCCAGCTCCTGCAATTCTCCTTTAGCCACTTCTGGAAATGCTCCTTGTAGAGCTGTGGTCTAATTTAAGGCTGGGAGGAACTGAAAATTATCTAAGCCATTGGCTTCCAAACCCCAGGCCTGGGGAAAAGCATAACATTCCATATACCCAGGCCCTAGTCCAGGGAGTCTGACTCACATGTGAGGGTCAGCTGGGAATCTGATTTTTTTTTTTTGGCGAAACCGGGGATTGAACTTAGACCCTTGCACTTGCTAGGGAAGTGTTTATTCCACTGAGCCATCTCCTTGGTGCCAAGGAATCTGAATTTTTATTTATTTATTTATTTTACTTTTTTCTTCCATAATTTTATTGAGAAACAAATAGCAATGAGACAGTTTCACACCAAATTGATAGGAGAGTTTCAATAATTAACACATTGCATACATTCTTCCTAGTGGTTAATTGCTATACAAAGATATACTTTTTTTTTTTTTTTTTTGCGAAACCGGGGATTGAACTCAGGCCTTTGTGCTTGCCAGGGAAGCGCTTATTCCACTGAGCTATCTCCTTGGTGGGAATCTGAATTTTTAATCAGCTGCCTCAGTGGATACTCTGTTCTAGTGCCATTTCATGTCCTCCTGGTTCACAGATGAAGAAGAAACGGAGCTGGGAAGGAAAGAGATTGCCCAAAGCCACACAATGGCATATGAAGGGCGCTTCTGTGGCTCATCAAGGAGGTCCATCCCTTTGGCTATAGCATTTCCCTCTCTGCAGGTTCCAGCCCTCAGAGCAGCTCCTCACTGTCCCACCTCCTGGCTCACTCAGGACTCTGTTCTCTCTTGTGCCTGCGCCACCCCCCCCCCCCCCCCGTTAAGCTCTCCCTGCTCCTAGAATTTGGAGCACTGCTCTTGAATCATGGGTAACACCCTCACACAGGGGTAAGGGGGTCAGACTCTGGAATCCAGTTTCTAACAGTATGGTTGATCCATGGCTCCTGATGCCCTCCTTGAGATGCTTCCCAGAAGTCACCAGCCCTCCCTCATTGCAAGCCTCCCAGCTCTAGTAGACCTCCCACTTGGGGCCTGAGGGTGTGAGCTTGGCAGAAAACACAAACCTCCTCTCCAGTGGTTGCTTCTGTTCCACCCACCCGTGAAGACCTTTGGCCACGTCCTCCTGACTGTCCACTGCTCTTTTCTCCAGGCTTCAGGATCTGAGGGAAGCAGCTGGCTTCCCTCTCCACCACACCCCAGCAGGCAGGCGGTCATTCTCCTGGCTCCCTCCCAAGGGTACCACCTAGCCCTGGTTCATGAACAAAGTCGAAAGGGTCCTTCTGTCTGCCTGCCTGCTTCTGGGTCAGTGTGTCTGTGCTTGCCCACAGGGACACCAGCTGGCTGGGAGGGGGCTGGGGGCCCCAACCTGCTGCACACAGTGCCGGGAAGCACCAGCCCACATCCTTGAGTCCCCAGCCCCACCCTCCCCACTGTGGCTGTGACCATCCCACCTCTTCCCCAGTCCTCCTCCCCTCCCCCTCCCACAGCCTCCCCAGGGGAGTCAGGCTGCCAGCCTCAGCACTCACTTCCGGCCTCATGACCCTCTCTCCAGCCTGCAGGCACTCATCCTCCCATGTCCCTTCCAGCAGGGTTGAAGACCCAGGGATGTCCTCCCTGCACTGGAAAGTGTTGCTGCTCTCAGACTTTCTCTGTTCCCTCGCAGGATGAGGCCCCTTACTCTGACCCAAGTATCACCCCTCTGGGGTTCCAGGTCTGCAGCCCCCTACCTGTTTATCCAATCAGGTTGAAGATCTTCCACCCTGATTTTGGCCGAAAATCTTTTTTTTTTTTTTTAATTTTTATTTATTTATGTGTGTGTGTGTGTGTGTGTGTGTGTGGCCAGTTTAGCCCACCAGGGGGCGGGGCTGGCTGGCATGTGGTGCTGGGGGATTGAACCGTGGTCCCTTTGCTTTGCTAAGCTTGTTCTAAGTAGGTGCTTTAGACCGCTGAGCCATCTCTCCAGCCCCAGGCCAAAAATCTTAACAAGAGTCACACAATGATATCTATCACTTATTTGGTATTTAAATATAGACACAGAAAGGTTAAAGCACATATCCTTAAAGACAAACAGCTATACCATTCAATTTTTCTGGAGAGTGAATATAGTTTTACTGGGGTCCTCTAACCAAACTGCTTCAATGACCAGAGGCTTGGCTCCCTCCCAGACTGCCTCCTCCAACTGTCCTAGTCCCAACTAGCAGTTCTGCTGACCTCTAGTTTAACCACCTACTAACTTCAGTCACCTCCTCCCACCTCAGTCACCCAGATGCACTACCTTCCCTTGCCACTAGGTGTCCCCTCAAAGCCACTGATGCCCCCAAGGGGAGCAGGTCCTGCCTCGCCCCACAGGGGCCATTAGGGCCCCCCCCCACAGCCCTGCACACCCCACCCTGCCCTATCCCCAGACACACAGAGCTCCTTTGTGCAGTCCTTGCCCACCCCCTTCCTGTCCTGAGTGGGGCACCTGGCAAGTAGATCTGCCCCTGAACTGCCCCCTGCCAGCCCCCTGCCCTGGATGCCAGGTGTGTAGGCGCCACTGCCAGCTCTCGCTGGACCTGAGGTTCACCCGGCCGCGGCCCTCCCTTCCTCCCTCCGAGGTCACCCAGGGACTGTTTCCCGCCTGCTCCGCCCCCATCCCCTCCTGCCCTTGGCCCTTCTAGACTCCTGTCCTTGTCTTTCCTTCGGTCTCCCAGGAGGACACTCTCCTCCCTATCCTCTCGTCCCACCAGGCCCTCCCCCCACTTCTCACCCACACCCACCTCCGTCCCCAGAGAGCACCCCGTTCCTTTGGCCCTGCCCCTCCCGCCCAGGTCTGAAGAACTCCTCCTCCTGAAAGTGGTTGCTGGAAAGGAAGTGACTTCAGCAATTTGGCCACAAGGCTGGGCACTGCTGAGCCCAGCTCAGCAAAGGCTTACCCGGCCCACCTCCAAAGCACAAACTGAGCCATGTGCGCACACACTGCCCCAGTGCACCCAGAACCCGGAGCACACACCAAACCAGCTCGTTTGCACATTTCTCATATACCACTAGCACCCTATGTACCCACGTGCAGTGTGGCACACACCACACTGGTATGCTCACACCTGCCCAGCATCCAGCCTGCAACCTGCACTCACCACTCCAGTGGCCACACACAAAGCCCTTGAACATTCCCCCAGCCTTGTTCACTTCTATAACTGGTGTGCACAAGCCTGTGCACCTAAGCAGTGTCTCATACACACCTGCTTGTACACAGGCCGAAGAGCCAGTAAATTTACAGTTGGGTACACCCTGCTTTGTATCCTCCCATAGCCTACCTCCCCACCCTTCCAATCCCAGGAGGCCCCACCCCAGACCTCAGGCCCCAGGAATGCTCTTCTGGAAGTTGGGTGGGGTCCCCTGGCAGGCAGGCTGGGCTCTAGAGAGCTTCCTGGAGCCTGAGGCTTCATGTGTCAGTTCAGGGAGTTGCCTCTCTAGGGCAGGACAGTTGCAAGTCACACCTGGCCTGTGTTCCAGAGCTGGGGGTGGGCTAAGCTGGCCAGGAGTAGGGAGGCAGATCCTGTCGCTGCCTCCACCCACCCAGTCATCCGAGGTTGTCCGAGGAAACCTGGTCTGCCCGGGGCCACCCAGCACCTCACCATGGCCTCCCAGCTGTTTCCACAGATCCCCTAGGGAAATGTCTTGGGGGGTCAGTTGCACACCATCAGGCACAATAGTTTCCTCCTCTGCCTAGAGTCCTGGTCATTGTCACAACCCCCTTTTCCTCCAGGTTCTCTCAGGTCATCAAAGTGTAGGGAAGAGTCCTCAGACCAGAAGGCAGGACTAGGGGTGGGTGGTAATTGTATATCCATGAGCCTCAGTTCCTCTTTCTGGATAATGGGGATTTTTGAATAAGCTGGGTTAATATTACTTGATCCTTGATTTTTCTTTTTTGGGGGTGTGGGGGTCTTTTTTGGGGGGAGGGTCTTTTTTGAGGTAGGGTCTCTCTGTGAGGTTGAAGCTGGCCTTGAATTTACTTTATTTCCCAGGCTGGCCTCCAACTCACAGCAATCCTCCTGCCTCACCTTCTTGAGTGCTGGAATTACAGGCATGCACCCCCAAGTCCAGTTTGGTTTTTTATTTAAAGGGCACTTTTTTGGGCTCACATTGGGAGTGGATAACTACTGGACTGGAGGTGGCACAGACATAGGCTTGGTTTCCTCACACACTTACCTGAGCAGGCTGTAGAGCAAGGCCAGGCTCAGCAGGAAAGGGCTGTCTCTGTCAGCGCCTCCAGGGTAGTCTCTGCAGAGGCCCGAGAGGCGCCCCTCACCTGTGGCCCTCTGCGCGCACTCAGGCGGGCAGGCTCTGGGGTCCAGGCTGATGGGTAGACAATTAGGCAAGCGCCCATCTGTGGAGGTAAACATAACACATCAGGCGTAAACATGGAGCCAGAGTACAGGGAGACTTTGAACCAGGAGACTGTCCTAGATGGAGCCCAGTCCAGCTCCAGCCTCATCCTGTCAGGGAGTTGTGAGCCTGTCTCTTAAAGCTCAGACTCTCACTAGACAGCAGTGCTTTTGTATATGTACACATGCACACACACCATGGGGGAAGGAACCTGGCCTGGAGGAGTCAGGCGGTTCCACTCCTCAAGCCAGTAACCTCTCTAGTCCTGTTTTCTCACCTGGAAAGTGGGAAGGAAAGGATCACACGTATGGAAAAGTTACTAGGGAAGCTGCACATACTAAGCTTATTTGCAATGCCGGTGTGAGTACTGCTGTTTGGTGACAGTAAAGGTGATTCTGCAGCCTGCACTTACCAGACTTCAGCTGGCCCCCACCCCATCCTTTGCCTCCCTGAGGTCTGCCCCTAAGCCCAGGAGGGGTCTGGGAATCAGGACTCATGGACTGCTTAGGTTCTGTTGCCTGGAAATTTGTGTGATAGATTCTGCTTGAATAAATTCATCTAACTCTGAATGTTCAGTTGTCTGGCTGAATATACCTGTAGGTGGGTCTACTCAGCTTGCCTGTGTGCTCCTCTGTATTCTTGTAGGGGGACATAGGTGAAGAGGTTGTGTGTGCGGGATTGTGTGTTTGCTCAGTTGTGGCCAGTACATTCACCAGAAGGAGCATGTGCTTGGGGTCAGTGTCTCCAGTTATGTATGGGCTATGTGCACGACTGGAAGTTCTATTCTTTGTGTGCATACAGCTGTGTTTGTATGCCTGTGAGGGCAGATGTAGATGTGCCAGTGCCTGTGTGTGACAGATGTGCCCAGCTGCGAGTATACCTGTATGTGCGCAAGCTGCGCCTGGACCTCTCCAGCTCCGTGTGTCAGGAGCCAAAACAGCTCCTGCTTGTCTCAGCTCTCTGGATGTGTTTGATGGGTGGTGAAGGCACGTGGCTGATCCTCTGCTGTCCCTGCAGGCTTCCAATCTTGAGGTCTGTGACTGTGGACACAGGTGTCACTTCAGGTCAGCACTGCCTTTCTCTGGGTTTTCAGGGTCACGGTGTTCCTGCGAGTCGCTTCACTGTGGGTCAGTATGTGCCTGTGGATGTCTCTGTGCGTATCTGTATGGTCTTCTTGTGTGTCTGCTGGTGGGTCCCTGTGCTATGTCATTTTGCGCCAGATAGCTGTGTTTCAGTGTCAACACGTGTGAGTGAGTGTGCCAGTGTGCTTGTCAGCACAATGGTGCTTGCCTCAGTGTGTGGTACCTTTGTGTAACTCATGTGCATGCCTGCATGGGAGAGACCCTTTGTGAGACAGTGTGTGTGTGTCTGTGTCACTGTGTTTGTATGTGCCTGCTTCCCTCCTCCCTCTCACCCTCCCTATCTTCTGCTCTTTCTCTTTCTCTCTCTCTCTGTAGGAGCCAGACAACTCCCCAAGCCTGGATTAGGGACAATTTATCCACAGGCAGAGAAGGAGAATTCCAACCTGCCAGAGCCTCCCTCCTCTGATCTGTCCCCCCTTCCCTGTGGTTGGGTGGGCACAGAAATGCAGCCCAGCAGCTCCCCAGAGGCCCAGGAAGGCGGAAAAGATGGAAATCTGGGTGGCCCCAGAGCCCTCCAGTGGAGGTGGACTGGCTGCCCCCCATCCGGGCCCCCACAGCTCGGCTCATCTTGGCCCTGTTCTCCTACATATGGTGGTGGGGTGGGGGGAGTCTGCATGGGGTCTGCCTGGCCCTGGGCTGTGGAGACCTAAGGAGCAAAGCCATCCCTAGCCCCTCCACAACCTGATACTCCCCAACTGATAAATGTAGCTTCTCCCCATGTGAATGACTAGGGAACTTGCAACTGTGCCCACTCAAGACTGGGGGAGGCGTGGGGCAGTGCGATGGGGGAATGCAGCAAGGGGGAGCAGGGCTGGGCTGGGACGAAGGCTCCCTTCACGGTGCTCCAGGCGCAAGGCAGAATCACATGTTTCCCATTAGCTGCTCTGGCCTCCTTGTTCAGGGGGTGTTGGCTGGGGGAGATTTGTTCTGGTTGCAGACACCAGCCGAGACCACACAAGAGAGAGAGAGAGCACAAGAGAGCTAGCGAGCAAGTGAGAGAGAGAGAGAGAGCCAGAGGGAGAGAACAGAACCAGAGACAGGAGAGACAGAAACAAGAGAGAACAGAACCAGAACCAGAGACAGGAGAGACAGAGAGGAAAGCTGAGAAAGACAGGCACATACATTCAGAAAAAGAGGAATGAGGAGAGGGAGGGAGATGGAGGTGAGCTGGACTGAGACATAGTTAGAAAATGAAGCATCGTGTGGGCCAGGCAGAGATGAAGCTGAAGCCCAGCATGACTGTGACAGAGAGAGAGAGAGGGGTGTGTGGGGTCATCTCTGCCATCAGAGATGGCAGGGGAAAGAAAGGGACAACCAGGGACCAGCTTGTTCTTCACCAGGCTGAGAAAGAGATGGCAAGGCAGACAGGGTGGGCCGGGAGAGGGCCTGTGGGTAGGGGAGTGGACGTGCAGTGCAGCGCGGGGGCCTCCCGCCTGCTGACCCTCGAGCCTGGGAGATAACAGGCCCGAATAGTGCTGACTTGCGGTTCAGAAATCCAATATCCTCCGCGGCACACTAATCGACTACCTGAGCTCCCGGCCCGCGCCGAGCTGCCCCGATTAATCCTGCGGCTCCACAGCCTTAATTAGTTTAACAGTTTCAGGGGCAGAAGAGGCAGGGAATAGGGTCCCCAGGCCCACGGGGACATAGCTCCCCTTGTAAAGCTGCCTGGCGCCCCATCTCCCCAGTTACACACCTGCCTCCGTCCCAGAGGCCCCTTCCCACACTATCTGAGAAACACAGGGTCCTCCCCTCCTGAGGAACAGTCCCAAGGGCCAGCACCTGGGTCAGAAGGTAGGTCATGCGGCGCTGAGATCCCCCACACCCCACACTTGTCCTACACTCGGGGCCTCGAGCACTTCCTCTGGCCTGCCCTTTGGGGCTCTGTGGTCTGCATGGGGAGGCCCTGCCAACTGCCAGCCTCATACTACTGGGCAACATGTTGTTTCTTTAGGGTGAGAGACAAGCTCCCAAGTTACTGACAACTCCCCAACAGCATGAGATAGTCACACATGTCACTCCCCACAACAGCACGAGATGGGCACATGGTGACATCTCTCTCACACACACAACAGTCTGAAAGACAGGTGTACGAGCCAGTGACAACCCTAACAGGATGAGCTACGCATATAAACCTGTCGCTTCCCAGAAAGTGTAAGATGGTCACATCTGACACACTTACGACAGTATGGGACAGGTATCCAGGTTGTCACCCCTGACCACAGTATAACTATCTCACCTTCCTCCATGTCACTGACCCTCCATGAAATAAGCGTCCTTTTCTATGGGAGGGGAGTGGGACAACTCCTCCACCGCCCATAGTATGAGGCAGGGGTAGGACCTTGATCCTTCCCTGAAGCCTCCCTCCAGATAGTGGGACAGTATATGACATGTCACCTCCCTGCTTTGGACAGGTGACAGCCCACCCACATCCCTCCCCCACCACTGTCACCAGTCTAGGTGGTGCTGTCCTCTGCCTGCAGAGGCGTCACAGCTCACAGGGCATGAATGTCACCCTGGCACTGCCAGAGCTGGGCACAGCCACACGTTGCCCCAGTGACAAACACCACTGGCCCCAGGAGGAGGTGGAGGCACACAGAGCTCTGGGTGTGACCTTGGTCCCTGGACACCAGGAGGGGAGGTGATGTGGCCTCCCGCCTCGGTAACCCAGCAGCCAGGCTGCCCTGGCTGGGGAAGAGGACTGCTAGGAAGGAAGCTGCCTTGGCACGCACATAACCTGGAAAGGCCACTTCCCCAAGCCCCCACCCCACTCCATTTCTAACATAATGTGACCATGTGTCTGTGGGGTGGCGTAGAATGGTTGGCAAAGGTAAGGGTGTCACTAAGGCTGTTTTCATCAGGCTGCTTAGAGACCAGTGGGGTCTGGGGGGCTTAGGGGTTGGTGTCACCATACAACTCACAGAGGGGATGGAATAATGGCTCGAGACCCCCTGCTGTGAAGGACACCTCTTTTCCTTATAAAGGCCCCCTCTCCAAACTGCAGGCCACAGAGCTAGGGACAAGGAGGCCAAAGTCCAGGGGCATGACTCACCCAGGGAACAGGCCCAGCCTGCTGGCCAGAGTGTGAGAAAGGCTGGGAGCCAAGAGGCCTGGGTTCAAGTCTGAGATTCTCCCAGGCCAAGCTGGGTGACCTTGGGGCAGCAACTTAAGTCTAGAGGCTGTGGCCAGCAAAGTGCCAGGGTGAGGAAGAAGCTGAAGCGGGGGACAGTGGGAGGGAAGGGCGAGGACAGTGGCCTCTAGCCCTGGCTCCGGGCTGCTGCTTCCTCATTAAGAGCCTCATCTTTCTGTACCACTCCTCTGGAGAGACACAACCACCAGCTTCCTGAGAACATGTAGCATAAAGTGGGCAGGTGCTCAAAAAGTGAGAAGCTTCTTAGGAGAGGGTAAGAGACTTTTCCAAGGTAAAGTAAAATGCATGTCTACTGAACAGTCTTCCCTGCCCGGCTGCCCACCTGGTGTTGTTCCTTTAAGATTCTTTGGGGGTATGTGTGGGGGAGGGCGTTGCAGATACAATACAGACCAAGCTGCCTACCACACTGTCCTAACTAAGATCAAGGAATCTGACTCGAGTCTGTCATCCGTTTTACCTTTACCCTAAACCTCACTTGGCCTACCTTCAAGCCCTAAAGTAGCAACTCAAAAGTGATAGGAGGGGCTGGTGAGATGGCTCAGTGGTCTAAAGCACCTACTTAGAACAAGCTAAGCTAAGCTAAGCACAGGGACTGCAGTTCAATCCCCCAGCACCACATGCCAGCCAGCCCCGCCCCCTGGTGGGCTGAGCTGGCCACACACACACACACACACACACACACACACAAAATAAATAAAAAAACAAAAA